TTACGATTTGCTAAACAGTGGGTGGAATGTTATTTTCCTAGGAAAATGGTGGCGAGATCTTAGAGCAAAGGGCCCTCCCCAGTTTTATCTCCATAAGGTAACTTATAGGGGTTGCCATGAAATTCTTAAACTGGGCGGGGCTCGGTGGCTCACGCCTGTAATCCTAGCACTCTGGGAGGCAGAGGCTGGCAGACTGCTCGAGGTCAGGAGTTCGAAACCAGCCTGAGCAAGAGCGAGACCCCGTCTCTACTATAAATAGAAAGAAATTAATTGGCAACTATATATATAGAAAAAATTAGCCGGCATGGTGCACATGCCTGTAGTCCCAGCTACTCGGGAGGCTGAGGCAGGAGGATCGCTTGAGCCCAGGAGTTTGAGGTTGCTGTGAGCTAGGCTGACGCCACGGCACTCACCTTAGCCTGGGCAAGACTCCGTCTCAAAAAAAAATTTTAACTGTTATGGTGCTAGTGGGTGTGATTTTTACTATGCTAATGTATATTAATGGGAAAAAGGTTACTTCTGGACATGAGCTCCGTTTCTGTGCATGCTCCTGGCTGGGAAAAGTCCCTAACCTCAAATTCCTGCTGATGTTGGTTTGGTTCCAAATGTTCACTGGCCTCCTCATTTTTGCCCCCCTCCTCTTTTCCTGCGGTTAGCACTGCCAACCTGCACCTGTCCCTAATAAATCCATGCCTATATTTTCAGCTTGCTGATCTACCTTGCAGATTTCAGACTCAAGACTATAATAGCTCTTAGGTAAATCTGCAGTCTACCAGAATGCTCCACAGATTTCAGATTGGTAAACTTCCCAACTGCATGAACCATTCTTAAAATATCTCTTTTTCTAAATCTCTCTCACTCTCTACAAACACACACACACACACACACAACACACAGACCTTATTGGTTCTGTTATCTAGAGAACCTTAACTAACACAATGGTAATTACCTGCTGCCCTCCAGAAGCCCTGAGAAACTGAATATACAAATGAACAATGGCCAAACCATATGTAAAAACAGAACTTAGACCTCCAACCTGCAGCCACCTACCCAGGAAATCACATCCTTACTGACAATGAGCAACCTTAGTACCCCTGCTATAAATCAAAATGGTGAGAAATCAGACTGTTATTTCAATGACAATCCAGAAGCTGAAAATAATTTGTGTAACTATTGGCCCAAATGGCAGGAAATTATTAATGACTTACAGCTTCCCTGATGTTGTCCCTGCTTCCAACTTAGGACCAACCAGAGAAACAAACATGTACCACGAGCCAATGACATAGCGTTCTTACTGCTAGTTCTGTGTCCAGCTTCCCCATGAACACCCCTCAAGCAGGGTGAGAAAAGAATAGAATTATACCAATTCAACACCAAAATTGGGAAGATAGTTATTTAATTGAATTTATAAAATTTAACATAAGAGGACAAACTTCTAAGAGCAATGTTGGGATTAAAAGACCCAGGAATACGGTTAATGTCACTAATATAGAATGTCACAATGGGATGCCTTTGATAAGCATATTTATTTTAAATAATATTAAGTACAAACTTAAATCAGGTAGAATTTCACAGTAGATTTTTCAAGTATTTGATTGGCTTATGATAACTAAGTGTAAATATTAGCTTCAATATCTTTCAAAATATGCAAAAATCACACTGATTTAAGAATATTCATTAATAATTTAAATTCTATAAACATCAAAAATGAATACCATTATATTGTAAACATGTCAAAATAATCTTAGACTATGAAAAAAGAAGATGATCCCAGAAAGCAGCACAATCTCACCTCTTCAGAGGCAAATGTATAGTAAAATTAACAAAAATATTAACAGAATTGACCTGTCATCATAAGAATACAGAAAACTGTTCTAACAGGATGATTCCTGGAAATACAGTTCTGAAAGTAATGAGGTGCCTTAACATTTCCACTTGAAAATTTTGTGAATGCTCATTAATGTCATTAAATTATTCAGAAGATTTTGATCTTCTCAGAAGCAGCTTGTAAAGGCAGTTCTGGAATACTAATTGCGACTTCCACTCAGAGGTGCTGTAATAACAAGGCACAGGAAAATATGTTATTAAACCTGTAGGCAAAAACCCTTACCTCCCAAGAAGTCTTTTCTGAATATCACCATCCTTAAATCTATTACTTCAACTGAGTTCCCTGTATGTTACACACCTGTCCATTGCAGGAAAGAAAACTTGAGAGTGTTCTTGTCACCTTGACATCACCTTCATGAATACACTGATCCCACGCCCAAGATGAGATTTTCTTGTCCTCTTGTCACTCTTGTCACCTTGACATCATCTTTATGAATACACTGATCCCACTGATCCCCATGCCCAAGATGAAACATACACACACAAAAATAATCACACTTACTGCTGCCTTCAAGCTTGATCTAGATCTTCCAGTAGATCTCTTTCATCCTCTAAGCCACGGAGAGTCGAATTAGTGTACTAATACCAAGGGCATCTTATCCTTCTTAGGCACTGATGCGTGGGTCATGATAGCCCTGGAAGGAGACACGAGCAAATATGTGATCACGTATTTGTACAGTGGAGCATAATGCAACAAAAGTCAAATTTTTCATACCAGTATAATTATTCACAGGCAAAAAAAAGAGAGAATTTGTGAAATTTCTCTCTTCTAATCATGACTTTAAGTGAAAACCAAATTTTTAATACCTGTTTATACATCGAGTAAAGTATACTAGCTCTATCTAGAACTGAAGGTCTCTGCCCAGCACTCCCATGCAGGAGGAAACACAGCCTCCAGTGTGTACATTTCAACACCTCCCTTAATGAGGCTTTGACCAGAAGTGATATACCCTATGACCAACTGCTGGACAGCTACTTATAAGAGGCTCTGGGAACAAAAGCCTGTCAGAATTTATTTCTTTGAATTATTGAATCAATCAGGAACTAGCACTTGTCAGGCACATCAGGGAAAGACAAAACCAGGAGCTCTAGCAGCAACCACTGAGCACAAAACTCCAGCATATAACCCATGCATAGAGCCTTCAAGAACTGCTGACTGTCTAGCACTCATACCATAATCAGCATGTGTAAGGGTAGAGCACCTATTATGTGTTCAGGACTGTAGTAGACTTGGGAAACCAAGAAGAATGAGTATTTTCTTTACCCTGGGCAACAAAGAACAGCAGAGACCATGATAATCACAAAACAAGTCATAGAGAGTCAAACAATTATGGACAAAAAGACTGCCAGAGTTCAATGAGGGGAGAAATCTCTGTGGGCTGAGGCGACAACGAAGGGGAGGCTTATAGTCTTATTACCCCAACATGTATCTGCAACTAACACTCTTCCTTTCCTGCACACCACCAGAAAAACCAATGCCAAGCTGCTTTTCCCATCTTACTTCAGACCCATGGAAGAAATCTCACTTGCAGTCTCAGTACATGGGCATCTTCTTTTATCACTCTAATGAAGTTTCTATACACAAACATCCTCCCTAAAATGTCTGCCTGGCAGGCTCTTAATTCCTACAAGGGAGTATACTGTAGAAGTAAGAACTCAGGCTTCAGAGACCAGTAACTGGAGTAATGAATCTTAGTCCCCTCCACATACTGACTGGCTCTGTGCACTTGTAAAAGTTACGCCCTATCCTCGGTGCCTATCCCTGTTCTAAAAAAATAACAGATAGCACCTACTGTGTGTTACCATGAGGCAAGTATTCTGCTAGGTGATGTGTGCATTAATTCATTTTTTAAAAATGATAAAATTGGTATAACACCTATCTTAAAAGTTTGTCACAGCATTAAAGGAACCTATATAAAGCACTTATAAGTATCTGAAATGTAGTAGATTGTAATAAAAATAATTCATCAGTAGTAGTTAATTTATTGATATTAGTATGAACCAAGGCTTTCCATTTTTCCTCCATGTTCTCCAACAATCCTAAGAGTTAGATACAATGTTGTCCACATTTTGCAACTGAAAATTGAGATTTAAGAAGAATAACTTTTCTAAGGTCCAGGGTTCATATGTTTTGTTAGGCTGGGAGACTAGCCAATACACCTTGGCTCCACTTCAACACTTATTTGCACATGCTGTCCCTTTAACCTACACTCCCCGTATTAATTCTATCCTTCTGCAATTTCCTGCTTAATATCTGTCTTATCCACCACACTCACTCCATAGGGGTAAATCAATTTCATTTGATAATAATTGAGTACCAGTTTCTAGTTGCCAGGGCCAACTTTATTTTTAATAAACACAGGTTAAATAAATCTGAAATGCCTTTTCTGTGCCCTTTTAACAAATGCTGCTCATTCTTCAGGGCACACCTCAAAACTCTTCTCCCTCCTTCCATCCAAAATATGCACCAATCGCAGATCTTCACCTACAATACAAATAGAGCATTTCATCTCCCAGGTGTTTCTGCTTGGTGTATCTAAATTCCTTGCAGACAGGTGCCAGTCTTAATTCTCCTATATACTCAAGATTACATGGCTAGATACCTCAAAAAGATTTGTAAAAAAAACTATTTCCTTAAGAACACCCCAGCTTAAAGGATTGATAAAATAAATTCAAAGAGTAGCATATAAGTTCGCTAACTCCACAGGAGCAATTATAGGTGCTGGGTGAGGTGACACAATTGAAAAAGGAAGTAAGAGACCCTCAGGGGAATGTGGGCACATAAATTATCAAATCTCAATCAGGACAAACCTCTATCATGGTGGTCCCCAACCCCAGGGCCCCAGGCTGTGCAGCAGGAGATAGGCGATAGCTCCCATTGCTGCATGGGCTACACCTCCTGCCAGATCAGTGGCATCACTGGATTCTCACAGGACTGCGACCCTACTGTGGACTCCTCAGTAGAGGGATCTAAGTTGTCTGCTACTGTGAGAGTCCGGTGCCTCAGGATCTTGGGGGCGGAGCGCTGGGCAGACACTGCAAGTGCAGATTGTCATTGGCAGAGAGGTATCACTGCACAATGAATGTTGGGCGCTTGGATCATCCCAGAACCTTCCCCTCGTACCCCTCTCCTTCTGTTTTGGCCATAGAGTTTACATAACATTAGCACCACAGAGACTAACACACGGCAGTACTCAAAAATAAATGACTAACATAAATACATATGAAAATTTTAACTTACAAACAAATGTTACATAAACGGAATGCTCTGGATAAGTGTTAAAATCCTAGTACAGGCATATCTGCTTAGAAATCAAATTAACATACCAGGATAAACAACCTTTTCTACCCGAGGATTTGACTCCAGAAACTGGGCAACTGCCATTGCATTTTTGAAATGCTTCTCCATTCGGACTTGCAGAGTCTTCAGACCTCGATCTCGATACAGAAGACAAGACACAGGTGGGCAAGTATGAGTTGTTTTCTATATCTTAAAAATGTTTAATGAAGTTCTTTCTATACAAGAAGAATAGAAATTAAGTTTTAATGGCTTAACAGATTAATTACCCCCTATGTACCACTCCCTTTGGCATTGAATAATAATTGTACTTCTTAGAAACCAGTCATAGATTTTTTCCACTCATTTTGATCCTTCAGCAAAGGAAATGATATGAAAAGCTCAGTGTGCTTTTTCTTAGAGTGGCAGCAGAACTCTATCATGAAACAGCTGATGTCTTCACTGAAGAGTCTGAATGACGAGGAAAGAGAATTGTGCTTTGAGGAGGAAATCTCAACTTTAAAACAAACATTAGTAAAATCAGCAGAGATGCCAATTACCTCTTCTTAACTCTTTAACCATTACTCTTAAAATCATTGTTTTACATCTTATAAATCCCTTCTGTTTACCTTCTGCATTTATACAAGTTACCCCCTCAGCTTCCTATGATATAGTATTTTTATTATAGATGATGTTGGTGAACAATTAGAGTTTATCACGTAAGAAATCTGTTATTTTCTGACTTAGAAGAGAATGTTGGAGAAACATCAAGCAAGAAACGTCAAAGGAACTGGAGTGAGAGAAGGCAGCAGAGTCATGACACAAAAGCTCTGATATATTGGCATGAAGGTTTCTCTGCATCACAAACGAAATAACGATTGAGAGCTGTGAATTCTATCTGAAAGCAATCAGGGCATCTTTTGAAAGTAGACATAATAAAGGATACCACATAATCTATTATTTTGTCGGTTTAAATATCAATTTAAGTAATATCTTTTAATCGAGAATGAATTTGCTATTCATTTTAAGTTTATAGAGGTGCATACTTATGGATTTTTTTCATAACTGATTATTTTCTTCATGGATGAGTGAATGTAGACAACTCATATGTCAGACATTATATGCTAAGCTCTTTACAAATATTATATCATTTGTTGTTACAATAATCCATGGAAGTAGGTACATGTATTATCCTTATTTTAGAGATGAAACAAGGACATTAAGATATTGGCTTAAAGCTCCATGAGAAGTAAAAGTCAGGGATTCAAATCAGGCAGTATGGGCCCCAGAGTCCATACTTGTTATTGTATTTGAAAATTATGATTTGAGATACCAGCTGTGAGAAGTACTTCCACATTACCAATTTACAAGTATTACTAACTAAAAATCAAATTCTCTACATATATTAACGATTAATGGTGTTTGTATCTATTATTCCACTTCCCATATTCAAATGGAATCTTTTCCAGCCAGCTTGGTGACGTAGTAAGCTGGAGGGACTTTCCAGATCTGGAAAGTTCTGATATTTCCAACTCCAATTACCCCTTTCCCCTTTGATTTAGGAAATTCTGCCTCTAGAGTCAGGTCAGCAGAACCAGCTGATTGTTTTCAGAGTGATTATGCCTCATCAAAATGGAGGTGATGGTTAAAAAGCAGCAGCCTCTCACCATCAGGGAGATCACCTCATTATGAGGCGAGGGTCCTTGGTTATTACGGATCATGGGGAGTCTGGAAGACCAGAACATCTCAGGCATATTTAAGACTCAGTCAACTTGATATAACCTAGGGTAGGAGGGAAGCAGTGTTGTAAGCCATTACCATTTGCTGGAAGATAAGCAATCTAAACATAATCTCTGTTGTTTCGTAAGTTGGAGACAGAAGCCAGACTTAGCGAGTACACGGCGGTGGCAGAGGTTTAACCTTTCCGAAGAATATGAACTCTAGCACTGAGCCCACTTCTCATTTAGCCAGAAGCTCATCTCACCTTCTCCCAGTGCTTATAGAGACTCCTGATTAGAAATCCTGCAAAAGAAACTTCAACTAAGAGCATCAAGGCTGCTCCAGAGTATGACCTCCCTTCTGCTTAGGAAAGACCATCCAGGTTATGGGCCAATTTAACAATTGTTTCTAGCATGGAACCAAACGTTGTCTCTGCCAATTTCCACTGGCCTTACTTTCTCAACTTAGTTCCTAAAAAGAATGTTCAATTGAAAGATGTGGTAAAGCAGAATATTCCCCCCACACACAAGATATCACACCCTAATCTTCAGAACCCATTCATATGTGAACTTTACAGTGGCCTAGAGAGAATTTGCAGTAATGTTAAGATTAAGAACCTTGAGATAGAGACATCTTGGAGATTTGTAACGAGGCGAAATTCTAATCACAGAGTCCTTGAAAAGTAAGAATTCTTCCAGTGGTACAGAGGGATGAGCCAAAGAAGGAAAGAATTCAAAGCCTGAAAGAGGGATTACAAGCCCTTTGTTGCTGGCTTTGAAGATAAAGAAGGGACTAGCCACAGAATGGTGGTGGCTCTAGAAGCTGGAACAGGCCTGTAGATAAAAGCCCTCAGAAATGGATATCTCAGTCCTAGGTTGCAGGGATGAATTCTCCCTGCGAGAGCCTCCAGGAGAAACAAGCCTTTCTGATTTTATCTGCGAGATGCATGCGAAATTTTAACGCCGTACAGGACTGTAGGATATATTTTTATTTTTCAAGCTGATTTTTGTATTTGTTATGTTCAAGAATAATAAATAAAGATATTTTAGATTTTTTTTTTAGTTCTATCCCTCATTTTACCAGGGGAAAACCGATCAGCTATGTTGGTGAATGTTCTTCATCCCTGTTCATCAGCTAATACTACTCTGCCTGAGGAGTAATTTGGATTCCTTTTCCTCAGGAAATTTTCTTGTCCCTCAACGGTGTCCCTACCATGCGATCCATAGCATCCTATTCATGCTTTTGCACACTATTCTCTGATCCATACTAAATTTTTGAGGTGCAAGGCTTTGTTTATCAACATGATAGAATTCTCTTGGCTTAAACATATCCCAGCAGTTATCAGCTTAAACTACATTGGGAATAAATACATGCAGTCATGCTCAATAAACATGAATGAAAATAAAAGAACTATGTCTACTGATCACTTTCCCCACAATGTTAGGATTCTGCTAAAAGTAACCAAAGCATTGGCAGACAGATAGCAGACTGAAGTGCGAATATGGCTTCTTTTTGATTGGTCTTTTTCCTTTTCTTTCTTTCTTTCTTTCTTCTTCTCTGTCTTTTCCCTCTTTTCTTTCTCTTCCTTCCTTCTTCCTTCCTTCCTTCCTTCCTTCCTTCCTTCCTTCCTTCTTTTCTCTCTTCTTCCTTTCTTTCTTCTTTCTCTCTTCTTCTTTCTTCCTGTTCAGACTATTTGTATAGGGGAAAGTGAAGGCACGTCCCCACATCTGGGGAATATCAGGGATCAGCCATTCAGAGTGAATGGTAAGCCTCACCCCTGGGAAAACACTTTGTTTTCTGTTACTCCTGCTATGGCTTGTAGAAATGGGTTTTGTTTTTGTTTTTCCTGAAGTCACTAAAGTCTGAAAAAGTACACAAAAATGGGGAAAAGGGAACATGGGTTTTTGAAGCATCAAACAGAAAGAATCCCTGAGCAAGAGTAATTCTCAACAATGGCTTTTCCCTTGAACTACACCATCACATTCTCTGGGTCCCAGCCTGCCCCCTCCTTGCAGATTTGGACTTGCAGCCTCCATAAACAATTAGCCTATTTCTATACACACACATAACATGCCACACACGCACGACATACATCCTATTGCTTCTGTGTCTCTGAAGATCCTGGACTATAAAATATCAAAATCTGATATAACTGCTTATATTAATTGTGTACACTGTAAAATGAAATCTGAGGATAGGTAGATTCTCTTACCCATGAATTTTCTTTCATTCAGTATCAGATGAGACTATTTTTTAGTATACTAAGAGCGATCAACAAAGAGACAAAAGAAAACTGGCTTAACACAAAAGCAAAAGAGATGAGGAAGAGTGGGGAAGAAAGTATTGGCTCATGGACTGACATGGACTGGCAAAGGTCTACTTTTGAGATAAATTGGATTCACATTCCAAATATCACCAAGCGGCTGGTTTTCTGTCCAACTCTCAGAGGTGCTTCCACATGGATTTCCGTATCAGATAGACTGTTCCTTCCTAGTCGGTGAGATGGCTACAGCAGCTGCAGATATTTCCAGCTTCAGGTCCACGAAGGCAATGAGAAGCATCTTTCTGGGTAATTCCCGTAAAGTTCTAGATTCACTTAAATGTCTAGTTAGATCAAGTTGTTTCCAAACCGTCACTGTGGCCATGATATATGGATATTTTTTGGTTACTCACTGCTAGAGTTCCCAAAACCAGTGGCTGATATTTGGGGTTGGGGGGGTTTCACAGATCCACAGGGTTACGTGCTGAGAGATGTCAAATCGATGCTAGACAGTCAAGAAAGAAGGATGGCACTCCTACTTGCTAACAGGATCACTTGCAATTTTGGTTATTTTGCTTTTACAAGATTTATTTTTGGGAATCAAAAAACACAAGAAGATTCTGTCATTATTTTTTAATTCTATGCTTAAAAGTCATCACACATTGAAAAATTTATACACGTGAATTTCTTTCTTGGCCCTTTATGACACAAAATTGCAACTTCATAGTACACTTATCATTATTCGCTATTTGGATGATTATTATATTTGCTTTTATTATTCAAAACTCTATTATCATTTGTATCCCGCTAATAAATGGGCCAGCTAGGTCCTCTGGCATTTCTTTCTTCAATATTCAATTTTTTAAAAGCAACAATCTTCATACCAGTTGATAAAGCAGCCTGTAGCTAGGGCCAAATAAGAATACACCCCAATCCAGGATACCAGTCCTGTTACTTAGGAACAATCAACAATTTTTTAATCTAACCACAGGCAAGAGTTGGATGGACAGTTTTTTGCCATGATTCCAATATCAAAACGCTGTCTATATATGTAGAAAACTCAAGCATACATTGAAGCCATAAGGACAGCTCATTACTGAGCACTAATGTATATTACTGCCTTTACATGCCTTATATCAGCAAACATAATTCCCCATCTTTGCTACGAAGAGAAGA